ATGCTGCAGTGTTCTGGAAGGTCTTCCTGCCATATAAACGAATATCTCAGAGGATCCTTTGAAGCAAATCGGAAATATAGCTGCGTAAAATTATCAGCAGGCCTTGAAGTGTCATGTAGCCACATTAGAAACCACTTTCGCTAAAGCTGCAATATCGAAAAATTCCAATGACATGTACCCCACCAATTGTCGCACTCGCAGATTGAGGGCGCATTGACTCTGCTTTCGTTGCTTATAATTTTATGAAGCAATCCTTTCTTGGCCTGGGTTATTATTTACGGCAAAAATTGGCCATGTGCGGCTACAAGAAACGATATTGTGGCAAATTATCTGGAATGAGCATTGAAAGCATGGCCAGACCAATCAGTCATTCCAAAAGATGTACTCAAATTAATGTGATCTTCCTGGTTTTGTACGCTATAAACTTGCTAAGAAGCGATTGTACTGTAAGAGCAGATTAGTGTGATATCGCTCTGAAGACCGCTTGTCAAAATTTCAAAAATGAGCAGACTTGCACGTATAAGCTATGAGAGATGCCATCCACGCCCATAACTTCGCCAAGCCACATGTAAGAAAAGTGGCTCTCATAAAAGGGGTTGATACTGCGCACCGAGGTTCCTGTTTATTTTTCAAACTCTTTAGACCTTCCGTTACCAATCACCAAATTTTCTAATTCCTCGGTGCCTATTAAAAAATAATAGGTCCTGATAAAGTTTAGCTAATCAAAAACGCCTTTTTAGGCTTTATCGATTCCTCTGAAATTATTTCACAAGAAAAAAGTACAAGAGGACTATAGAATGTTACCAAAAATTTGCTGAACACAGTGCAATTTATTTGATGGAGAAAGGTTGAATCTGGAAAAAATTTTGCTTGTTTAACTTGGAGGTGCGAAAACGAAAAAACCATCCGAATGACCCAATATTTCCTTTGGAAAGAGATGTACGGCTATTTCTTAGCGCCCCATAATCTACAAAAGAAGTATTATCGAAAAATTCTTTCTGGAATCTACTGGGGGCATACGCGCTGCTTTTAACCTTTGCGAAGAGTTTCAAGAATACTGAAATTGAAGTATCAAGGATTTTCTGTATATCGAAAGATTTCTCTTGACAAGCTGAACATATATTCGATAGGCGCTGCGTTACATCCTTGTGAAAGGACCTCCGCAGAAGAATTTGTGAAAACTGGAAACGAGATATAGAGGACATGATGTACTCAGATTTGCCTTGACGAGCTGAACACAATGCTGCTTTCGGATTTAGATTATATTCGGCTCGAAGGAAGTTATGACGGTGCGTAATTTGCGATATTCCGGGAATTTCGCGATATTTACGGAATTCCGCGAAATTCCCGTTCTATGGGTGGTGTTGTACATTGCACAACACGCGCGGTATTTCACGATAAGTGCTTCGTATGCGACTTCCAGCCATTCTCTTTTGCCTTCCTGCATTTTGAGACCCGTCATACTTCGCCGAAAAGAGCCCAATTTTACACATATCCGTACAGAATGAGCTCTTTACCGTATTTCTGCAGTGCGCAACAGAATGTGGCCTCTGGAATCAGCACACTGAATAATCCATTTACACTAAAGTTCCAAGAAAACCTATATCCCACGACTAGGCACCTCCATATGTGGGAAGATGTGCCTCGCCGAGCTGAGCTGCATGGTACTCTTAAATATAGAATTCATAAACTTTAAGTCAAGATAAGGTCTTTCGACGATTTCTGAAAAAGTTAGGCGGTTGCTTTTTGGAAAAGTTTTCCCGTTGCTTTTACAAAAATCCTGGACAAAATGTGCAATCAATTCCAGATTTTTGGTTCCAAACTACTTTCACCATTGTTTTGTTTGAACTTACTGTAAACAAGCTCGCTGTGCATCTATGATAAATTTCAGGAATTTCGAAAAAGAGACTAACAACGTGATCGAAAGAGGTACATGCAGCCTGTGTAACAGTAATTTTAGATTTTCGAAGGCAGTGCGAATCTTTTGTGAATCTTCTTTTCAGGTGATTTTCTTTGTCAGTATTAAACTTATTGGAATGCGTTAGGGTGCTATCAGAACTCAACCCAGAATTACTACCTGCGTTACTTTTTTTCTTGACTGTGCAATTAAACTGACTCGTTCAAAATTATGGTTGGTTATTTCAAACGATTCGATGAAACTGCAAATCTGTGAAGTATGTTCACCCGGGACTTTTCATTTGAGACCGAATAACTTTTCTTCATGATAGCAGGGAGCGCAAATAAGCGGTTGAATGAAGTTGTAACACTAACATATCCTCACTGCAGTGGCGTAGTGAGGGGGAGTGGGTGGAAGGGGGGGGGGGGGGGAGGGAGGGCGCCTCTCCCGGAATGGGTCGCGAAATTCTTGAAAGTTGCTTACGTGAGTTATAATGTGCAAGTGACTTGTTTGTACTTGTGTTTAACCAAAATAATTTTCAAAATTTTTAAAAATTCAATTTAGCCTTCAAAAAAAATTTTCTTGGGAGCGTGAAGTAAACCACGCCCCCCTTTTCTGACATTTCGGGGTTATGGGCCCCAAAACTTTAGGAAGCATACCAAAAACTTTGTCATAATGCGTGGCTTATTTGTCCCCCCCCCCCCCCAACGGAAAGCCTGGGTACGTCACTGCCTCACTGCAATAGATATGTAGCAGCGAATTTGGTCGAATTTGCAAATTTTACATCTTTATCTGCTAACATGGTAACACACTATGTTGAGCACTTTTGAAAACGTTTTTATAAGCAAGATAAAGTACACGCAGTTCAATGGTTTTTTTTTTCCAAATAGCTCAAGAGACGAACAGTTCTTAAAGCGGGAAAATCTGTTTGTAGCAATTATGAAAATCCTTTTTAAATTGGTGCTAACCAAAGACAAAATCAAAGAATCCAATTGACTGATAGAATAGAAATCTGAGAATGAGGGACCATCAACTAATTAGTCATTTCAATCTATCTACATGAGTGAAGTTTGAAAATTTTCGCAATCTCCCGACTGCATACTGTCAGAAAATTTATTGGGGTCAAAAAGCGTTCAAAAGTTCAGACTTGTTGAGCTTTTCTAACTTTGTGCGAAACCCCTTACAGTCGAATCATTCCATATGGTCATGTGTGCACCCGCACACACTGTCCATCTTTGGCGTCCTCATCCTGGATTTGCAATCGCAAAACGCAGGAGACTGACCGATTGCTATCACTTAAATCACTTTGAGGTAAATAGTACTTAAAAAGAAGAGAAAACATTGAAACCACTTTGAAAACACCTGCATGAAGGGTTGCCCCTCTATGAATCCAGGATGGGAACGCCAAAGGTGACGGTGTATGCAATGTCACGCATGATCATACGATATGATTCAACTGTAACTTGTCTTCAAAAATCAGAAATTGCTCCTTCACCAGAATAATGAATATTGAGCTCATAGGCCTCTTCTTGCTACAGTGGAAATTTGGAGCCAAGCACCCACCCCTGTTGTCATCTAACTGCGTTCAAAGCGACATCTCCAGGCAAGAACCTCTCCAATGACAGATTTGAACCACATTGCGCTTTATCCTTCATACCTGTTATTAAGGCAATCTATGCGTGAAGTTACATACAGATTACTTCGGTAAAGCAAATGACTTGCATCCTCTCTGAGTTGGAGAGTTTCTACAATATGTCAGTGCCAGTACCTACTCTGACATTCGGTCCGTGCGGCGCGCGCGTGCTCCCCGTGCGGCGCCTTGTAGTGCGAGGGGGCCGAACGCTCCGTGCGCGCGGGCCGAACGATGAATGCGCGCGGGCCGAACGGTGAGTGCGCGAGGGCCGAACGGTGAATGCGCGCGGGCCGCACGGTATCGAAAGCGCTCCGTCCGCAAGCTACTAGAGAATAAGTCTCTTTCATAGACCTTCTTTTTCTTCTTCCGTCGTGCCGTGAGCATTCTCAACTTCACAGTCCAAAAAAATTCCGAATTCAAAAAATTCGAAAATTTGAATTTGAATTCACAGAATTCAAAATTCAAATTCAGCACCCATTCGGGACGCTGTCGAGGGATAACCTCCGTAGAGGTAAAAACCTTCTTATATTCCTGCGATTACTCAAATGCCAATAAATGATACCTAAGTCATCTCCACAAGTGATGGAGCAGCCTAATCATAGCGTCGTACCTCACGCGGGTACCTATTACGCTTATAGCGTGTGAGAATTGGAGGCGCGCGGGCGGCACGGGGAGAATATATTGCGAGCGGGCCGTACGCTAAGGATACAAGGCGCGCGGGCCGCACGGTACATGACCCCGCCCGTAAATCTAGGCGCGCGGGCCGCACTGCTGGCCATTAACAAGCGCGCGCCGCACGCACCGAATGTCAGAGTACAGCTTGCTTTGCAGCGCTAGTTTTCCTGGAACGAGTAGGGGCTGTGAGGAGTCGTCTTCTTGCAAACACCAGTTCAGGCCAAAGAACATAAGCGATCTCGTAGAAAAAAAGATGGCATTTTTGTTTTACGTAGATTTAGGTTCAACAAGATTGGGGCTAAGGTCTTACAACAAGATTGGGTTCTGTTTGTTTGGAGCATCTTATTTTTCGGCCGACGGGAGTTGGCCAAATACCATGGCGCATGCGGACGAGTTTTGTTGGGATCGATCCGTCCGTTCCTTTTTCAAACGGCTCCTCCTCTCCTACATTTTTTCTCGAATGAAAGTCATAGCTCTCCCACATTCTTTTTTCTGAATCGAGTCATGCGCTTGCAGTCTAAGATTATTGAAGGTTCACGGAATGTGATCTTTCTTGAATAATTTCTTTATTCGCTGAGCACTTTGCATAAATACTGCAATGTTGTTTTTGCGGCTTTGCAAACCTGTTCTGGTGTTCTATTGCCTTTCTGTTATACTTGAGTATCGTATCAAGTGTTTTCCATAATTGAGAATTGAGTTTTAAGCATACTGAGTATGTGAATAAACCTGTCATAAAGCCCGGTCGTTATCAGTTTACTTCATTTTTTTCACTTCATTAAGCTGATCGCGATCTTCTTGAGAATTTTCAGGAAATGACAACGGCTGTTGCTCAGTCACCAGGACACGAGGAATCAGACGATTCACTCTATCCAATTGCTGTGCTTATTGATGAACTTCGAAATGAAGACGTACATTTGCGCTTGAACAGCATTCGAAAACTGTCAACGATTGCGCTTGCTCTCGGTGTTGAACGGACTAGAAACGAACTTATTCAGTTTCTCACAGGTACCGCAGTCCTATCTGGGTTGACGGCATGTTCGTAGTTTGATTGATACTGAAGTTTAGATACTATTTACGATGAAGATGAAGTTTTGCTCATTTTGGCTGACCAACTCGGAAATTTCACTCCTTTGGTAGGTTGTCTGCTTTTGATATCTTCTTTTCTGTTTCTTTTAATTTCTTTTTTTTCCACACCTGCAGAAGTACAGTAAAGTAGCAAATCTGACCTTTAGGTTGGTGGTCCTGATTACGTCCATTGCTTGCTTCCACCGCTTGAGAATTTGGCGACTGTGGAAGAAACTGTCGTACGAGACAAAGCTGTGGAGAGTCTGAGAAAAATAGCTGACAAGCACAGCACTGCCGCTTTGGAGGAGTATTTCATCCCCATGCTCAAACGGTTGGCCACAGGTTTGCTTGCAGTCTAATAGTGCGCATTAAATTTGTAGGCGTCCTTAGCTGTCTTATAAGGGAAGTGCTTTTGGTGATTCCAGCCTTTCAACATAAGTACATATGAATACTGGTTCTGAAACACTTGATTCCAATCTTAGTTCCAAGTTCGAAATCTGCGGAATATTTTCAGGAGTTATAAAGGCCTATGGCATGTGGCGAGGATTGCCTTGAATATGGGAGTGAAATTACATATATAAAATACATACAAATACATATTATTTTCTCATTCATGTAGTTTCGGACCATGTGCATTTTTCAACGTCAACATCATACATCGGTAGATCTAATGTTATGAATTTGTCAAACACAAAGTGACTTGTTAGGGAAGAAGCAAAACAGTGGCTTCAGCAGGGCTGGCATGTTGCCTGGCAGATAGCCCACTCAACACTACAACATCTACGACATCAACATCTTTTCGAATTTTCTCGACTACCATGCTCAAGGCATTCCTCTCCCACCCTTTTTCAAAGCCAAAGGCCTTCATACCTTTTTTGAAAAAATCTTCAGATTTCGAACGGAAAGGTTAGTGTTTCGAGAAATATGTCCATTTACATCGCGTATAGGGAGCTGGGGTCACCAGAGAAACTTCCTTCTTCAAAACGTATCGGATACAACTGTTGGCTTTTAGGTGACTGGTTCACATCTCGTACGTCAGCTTGCGGACTTTTTAGCGTTGCTTATCCACGTGTGAGCCCTGCTATCAAAGCTGAGTTGAGAAGGTTAGTGGGATTAGTTTTATTTTTTATTCAGAAAGAGCCATCGCTTATGCTTTGATCTGTGTTTGCGATTTTGGCGCGATAAGTGTAGTTCGCTTAGAAAAAATACGAAGGCACACCGGTTTTCCAGCAAAATGAAGTGGACGATGTGTCATTTGTGTCTTTTTCTCTTTCTTTGGCACTCAAAGACATCCGATAATGCTGGTAAGAAAGGAAAGGGAGAGACATCGTGTGCTTGGATACACAAGCTCGTGCATGAAAAGAAAGAAGCGGTCTGGTTAAGAATAGAATTGCCCTTGGTATGCGGAATCTAACACCGTAGCCTGGAAAACTTTACATTTAGGTTTGATTAGTGTAACCCACATATTGAACTACCAGCGAAGTCAAACCTTTATTGGCGTAGTCGATCCTCTTTGATTCAAATTTGAATGCATCGGCTCGTGCCGCCTGCAATGGTACCTGTTGAGTTCTGCTCACAATATCGTGCTCGAGCCAAATTATTGCTGATGGAATCTTATCATATGCGTCATGACAATTAGCAACAGACTTCTAGGACTGTCATACTTTGCCCAAAAGCGCTCAAAAGCGCCCAAAAATGCCAGAAATCCTTCCATCATGGCATTTTTGGCTGCCCCGCCCACTTCCATTGAGTGGGCGTTATTGGTGGAAGTTTGAAGCGCTTTTTTCAGGACTTAGCGCATCAACTGGAAGTTGGGTTTGGGGCTACGGTGTACTTGGGGGGTCCACTACCCGAAACTACCAAAATCTGACAGGGGTCCATTTTGCCTGTCCACTGCCTTTAAGCTATTTACAAGCATATCCAATTATTTTACCAGGGGCAGTCCCAGGATTTGACTCCGAGGGGGAAGGGGCGGCAAAAAAAAAATTTTTTTTTCAAATGAATGTGATCGAGAAATCGCAAGTTGATTTTCTCGAAATACTAGTTAATTTTACTGCTGAACCGTTTTTCAAACTTAGGATCCAGCTTTAAGAATTGCGCATGCGAGTTTAAGCATCCTGGCGCTTTCAGGCGCTTTTCGGCGCTTTCGAGAGCAATTGGGTGAAGTATGACAGGTCCCTACCTTGCAGTGTTAGACTTTAAATAACGATGAACGAGGAACTTTGCAGCCTCTTCCGGCAATTATGTCGCGATGATACACCTATGGTACGTCGTGCAGCTGCTGCGAAACTGGGAGACTTCGCAAAGGTTAGTGCATTTTAACCCTTTGTATTTTATTTTCGGTATCTATTTAGAGAAATGAATAATTGGTGTCGTAGTACTGCTTTCAACAAGATATTGTAGGTTTTCGAAAGGGACTATCTTGTAGATGAACTGCATGCTATGTTCTGTGACTTAGCCGTTGACGAACAGGTAGCGTGGCTGTGCTCTTGCGTATCGTGATAATATTTGCCATCACTCCAGGACTCCGTTCGTCTTCTTGCTGTAGAAGGATGCATTGCAATGGCCGGTCTTCTATCTGAAGATAGTCGGAGAGATCTTGTCCGTCCCGTTTTGAGTGGACTGATTGATGACAAGAGTTGGCGTGTACGGTTTATGGTAGCAGAGAAACTTACAGAGGTAAGTATAAATGGTTTTGGACCTCAGGTAGTTTTAAAGCTGTTAGAATTAATTGCTTTGATAGATCCAAGATGCAATTGGTGAAGAAATGACGATGTCGGAGCTGGTGCCTGCGTTTACCAATCTGCTAAAAGATCCAGAAGGTGAAGTCCGTGGTGCTGCGGCGCAGAAACTCAACAGTGCGTTTACATCACTTGATTTTTTATTGGTTTCGAGCCTTAGGTTAGCTGTAGCAGAGCAATGCCTTTTTTTCCTAAAACAGCTCCTCTCCACTGATTATAGCATTTCAGCATTTTGTGCGAATTTGAAGAAAAGCGCGAGAGAATCTACAATCTTGAATAATATCTTGCCCGTAGTCAAAGAATTAGTCACTGATCCAAATCAGGTATGACATAAAGTATTATATATCTCCTACTTTATCTTACTCGTAGCATTTTCTAGCATGTCAAAACTGAGCTTGCTGGTGTCATCATGGGTCTCGCTCCACTTGTTGGGAAGGAAAACACCATATCGCAGTTGTTACCTATATACATGCAATTATTGAAAGACAGCACGGCCGAAGTCCGACTGAATATCATCAGCAGCCTTGACAAGGTAACATAACTCTATATCAATACGATTTTACACTGAGCTATTGATGTCCAGGTGAACGACGTCATAGGAGCCTCTCAACTTTCACAGTCACTTCTGCCAGCCATCGTCGAACTAGCCGAGGATGGCAAATGGCGAGTGAGGTTGGCCATCGTGCAGTTTATGCCGTTGCTTGCAGCACAGTTGGTGGGCTCATTCTACTTTCTTTGTTTTGTGTTTCAGAATACCATTCATTGAAAACATTTCTACTAGTAATCCTTCGCGATCTGTGGCAAGTTCTGAATTAGCTGTTTTTGCCCTATTTTATGAACTTTAGGGTCAGCAATTTTTCGATGAAAAAATGTTGCCATTGTGTCTCAATTGGCTATGCGATCACGGTAAGTCGCTTTTAGTTGTTCTTTAATGCGTTGCGGTAATGCGTTTTTTTCCTGTAGTGTATGCGATCCGAGAAGCTGCCACTATGATTCTGACTGAACTTGCTGGGAAGTTTGGTGGTGAATGGGCGACAAAAAATATCATGCCCAAGGTTCTTACTTTATCCAAGGTAATTTATACGAAACACGTTACTATATCATACATATTGACATTTCAGGATCTCAACTACCTACATCGTATGACTTGCCTGTTCTGTTTGAATTCTCTTGCCGAAGCTGTGGGAGCAGAGCAGACTGCGAAGGAAATCATGCCAGTTATTAAAGAGGTACGTTTCTCGCAATGGGCGCCTTTAATCCCTACCTAGTCCCCGCTGTCAAACGCGCCACATTTCTTCACGTGTTGCTGCTTGTTGAGTGCTATCGCAGCAGGCTTACGCAGTGCTATCAAATGTGCGGAACTTTGTAAATTGTTCATGGATTGGAGCGCATATAGTCATAGTCTGTACGAGAAACTAAGCATAGGCTACTCCTTATGAAGTCGCAATATCTTTGGGCGTGAACGCGGCTTTATTAGCTGCAGAGCGCAGGCGCAGGATTTACATACGGTGAGGATACGCAAGCGTCGCGTTCGCGCCCGCTCAACTAATATTGCTTGCTTCTGCGCCTTCGTCATGCAGTAGCCTTTAACTCTATATTTAGATTCACCATTCCTCCCACGCAACTTTTACAATTTTTAATTTTTGCGTATGCTGTCTTGATTCGCACGACTTGTCAAGATTATCTAGCTTCAAACTCCCTTTTATTTTCTCAAAGTTGAGGGGTTCTGATTCGCTTTATCATCTCAGTCACCACTGGCTGTGTTCATCAATGAACCAGTGGGTTCCGGTTCACCGGGTAGTCTTAACCCATGCGACAGGTATTCACGAAAAACTAATGGGTACCGGAATTCAGTGGGTTGATCTTACCCACTGGGTTGTGGAACCCACAAAAAGTTAACCGGTGTTAAACAAACTGACCCAATGGATTCGGGAGCCCAACAGTTGAGCATACCGGTATCCACGAAACGAGTTATCCACACCCTGTGGATGCGAGCGCTGGGTTAGCGATCCCAACCATAGCGCAAGTTTCGTGAATGGTTGCAAGTACCCAATCCCTTCGCTGGATGCTATAAGAAGTCATGAAGCAGTGATGGCTATTATGAGCCATATACCATGTACTAGAAATAGTTCTTACGTCGTACTATTCCACTTGGCAGGCCCCAAAAATTTAAAATCATTTGCGCTGAATTGGCTCAGGGTTTGATCCGCTGATGCCGAATAACGTACAGGGCTTTTCAACCTAAGAGTCACAGCCTCCGCTTGCGCGGCTCCTCCAACGCGGCCGCCTCGCTCGAGCCGCGCGCGGCGTTTGCTGCGCATCGCCCGGATTTCGCCAAGCTTCAGTCGACGCGCAGCCTGGTGCCACCGTTGCGCAGACCTAAGTGTGGCGGCCGAGCGGGGCGGCTGTGACACTCAGGTTGTAAAGCCCTGTATTCATATCATACGGTAGGTCCGTTTTCTGGAGTTACGGTGGGTGTAATGTAGGGGGAGAAAATCACGGATTTTGGAAACTTGGCTTAGGATGTTCTTGATCCGCTGATGCCAAATATCATCTGAAAACCTGTATTCAACAAGACGCTCAAGTTTAGATTTAGGATTCCTACGAAGAGGTGGCCCTAAAAAGTGCTGTGGGGACAAAGAAATTCAACAGGGAACGGGATATAACTCAGCTACCTGCTTTCAAAAATTGAAGAGGGACTCTTCACGTTTGCCAAAAACCTGACACCAAAGAAACTCCCTCAAATATCGAGCAGAGCGACGGTCGTTGATGCCGCATTTCTGCTTAGCAATCCACTGGAATTTCTGCTAGGGGCTGTCGATGTTCTGCGTGTGTGCGCCTGTGCTCGGATCCACTTCAGCTGATGGTTGACTGTCAGATGTCTCAGGCAGCGCCTAGATCCTATTCTAGACCTGCCAGCTGTCGCTGATAATTGTCGTCCAAGCCTCATGTACCTCAAAATGAGCCGTAGCTGTGTTTCATCTCGTTACGAACTAGCACCAGAAACGATCTGCCAGTCCCTTTTTCTTATCCTCTGAAAAGCCACTGGTGTCGACGGACAATGCGGCCGCGATGTATCGTCTGCGCCCCAGAGAGGTTCCCATAGGTACTACGTCATCTCGCCGCCTTTCGCACTTTTGAACGTGTTAACCTCGGGCACTTCCGTCGAAATCTCAGGAGAAACATGTCAAAAAGAGCGAAAGGCAGCGTCGCACCACGTACGCACGCTAGTTCACATGGGAACCTCTCTGGGGTGCAGACGACTTCATTTTCATGACGCAGGTTTCTCTGTGACATGTCCGAATCCTCCGGTCACTGGTATGTTCTCCCTGAAGTATTTGCAGCACACAGCTCGAGAATACTGTTCACACTGGGTGGCGGTTGTGTGCCTGAGTCCAAGTTCGTTGAGTCTAAGTTCGTACTCCTTGTATGTCACGAGCCCCAACTTGTGCAACCAAAGATAGGACAAGGCAAAAACTTGATCAGCGGCACTCTGCATCTGGAATGCTCTTTTGAGACCTTCGCTGGCTTGGTGTTTCCATTCGGTCCATATCGGCAGTCCTGGCTATGACAAAACCAGCGCTTCTGGCTCCTTGAGCACTATGGGACGTCCGCAGGTTGAACATCTTGGACTGGCGAGAAGAGCGATGGGTCTTAGCCAGTCCTTAAACTCATTCTCCTCCATCCTGAGCGCGTCGTAGACGTCGGCAAGTGTGAAGTCCCACAACTCCTCTTCCAGGGACAGTGAGCGATGACGCGGAAAACAGCCATTTCTTGCGATGGACTAGCGCAAATTTACAGGTGCAAGCGTAGCTATACAGCAGACCACATCTGATCTTATCGGGCCATATCCATGCCATAGGTTATGCAGGGTACTGATACCAGTTAACTGAATCTTGATCTCATACACATTCCGTAACTCTCGTCAACAAAAATTTCGTGTAAAACGACTATGTGATTGGCATCAGCGAGTCAAACAATCACCGTTAGCCGACTTTCTGCGAAATCCGCGATATTCCCCACCTTATACCTACTATAACCACTTAGAGAGGCGTTTCGGTGCAGATTAAATGCGACATCCATGATCAGGGGATCGAATACCCCCCCCCCCCACCTGGGCCATGTTTCAGCGAAATCCTGAAGCGCCGCCTGAGCCAAGTTTCGGCGAAGTCCCTGGTTTTGGCCCCCCCCCCCCATGTATACTCATGGCCCCAGAAAATGCAGCTACCGTACGAAATGAATGTGATCGGCATCAGCTGATCAGATAACCCCCCTCCCCTCTGAGCCAAGTTTCAGCGAAATCCGTGATTTTGGTTCCCTACCGTGTACAAACCGTAATCCCAGAAAATGGAGCTACCGTACGAAATGAATACGATATTTGGCATCAGCGGGTGCTAACCCCCTGAGCCGAATTTCGGCGAAACTGATTTTGGCCCCAATTGTATGCCCACCGTAACCCCAGAAAATGCAGCCACCGTACGAAGTGAATATGATTCGGCATCAGCGGTTCGAATAACCCCTCTGGGCCTAGTTTTAGCGAAATCCATGATTTTTAGCTTTTGGTGGTTAAGTGGAATAGCGCCAAACTTTCTTTTATCCTGTTACAAGTTTGGCTAGTTGCGATATCAACGATCTTGCCAAAATTTGTACACGCAATGTGGACTTGTTTGTGAACAAGTTTCATTTACTTATTTATGGCTAATTAAGCAGAAACAAGTCGAACACATACGGCATCCATACAATGCATATGCACTGCAAAGAGGCCGGGGCTTATATTGGATTAACGTCAACTAGCAACTGCTGACGTATTGGCTTAGCGAACCCAGTGGGCACTTTTGAATACCGATTTAACCCAGTTCGCGAACTCAGGAATTCACTGGGTACGCGAACCCATTGGATAGCGGGACCACTGATTGGTTGTTGAATACGGCCACAGGAGGGTTTGCGCTGAGTTTGACCTTAATGCTATTAAATCACTTAAGTTTTGTTATATTTTCTTCTTAGAAAGATTCAGCAACTTTTGCAGAACCTTATGTTTGTGTATTCTTGTCAATAAACCTAAATTCGATACTTCGATGATTGTGTGAGAATTTTCTAAACATTCTTTCATCTTTTTCTTTCAAATAAGTCGTCCCAAAAGTTTTTTTTAGCTTTTTGAGTACGTCAGTTTTATGCCACATTTTGCAGACTTGGTACATGTCACAATTAATACATATGTACTTGGATAATGTATGATCTGGGTCGAGCACGAGGTGTGGCACACAACCGCCGAACACGACCATCCCCTAAGTTCCGTCTCGATTCCCTACCCCCCCCCCCCACATTACTGTTTGCCTATCGTAGGCTTGACATGAAGGCTCCACCAAGCATAACTAGTAATATATTCGTAATTATCATGTCACATAACCCCTGCGGGCCAAGTTTTAGCGAATTCTGAGGGTTCCCAATAATGAGCCACCCAAGTGAAGTGGCCATTTTCAAACGTGGTTGACTATATCTCAAAAGATTAATTTGGTGGAAATACGGCAGTAGCTATGATACTGATTAGTATAAGAGAAGTAAGGGCCCAGATAATTCCCACCTGCAAAATCTGGCTGCTGCAAAAGTTCTGTTCAATTTGAATTTTCAAATTCGACATCGTAACCTCTTTCAAAAACAACCTTTCCATAATCTCAGTTTCTGTAAACTAAGTAACTTCTCTATCAGAGAAATACTATGCCTAATGAAGACCCTGTCAAATAAGAAGCAAGAATTCAGAATTTGACAACCTTTCTTTTTCAATAACCTATTTCCTAGGCGAGAACGTATCCCGGCCACGTAGATCTTCTTATATATAAAGCTGAATGTCTGTTTGTCTGTCTGTCTGTATGTATGTATGTATGTATGTATGTATGTATGTATATATGTATGTGTGTACGTATGTTCCGAATAGAAAATTCCATTTCTGAACCGATCCGGACCAAACTTGGCACACATACACTTCGGGCCCCGGCGGGTGTCATAGGCTACTTTTCGTCATCGATCGATATCGATTTTATCGATTTTTATCGATTTTTTTGCTGAGTTCACCTACGGGGCTGGGAGTTGGCACAGGGGGGTAATCGAGCATGGGGATTCCGAATAGAATATTGGTTTTCAGGATTATCGATTACTTTTATCGATTTTATCGTTTTTTTTGCAAAGTTTGAGCTACGGGGCTGGGAGTTGGCACAGGGGGGTAATCGAGCATGGGGATTCCGAATACAATATTGGTTTTCAGGATTATCGATTACTTTTATCGATTTTATCGATTTTTTTGCAAAGTTTGAGCTAGGGGGCTGGGAGTTCGCACAGGGGGGTAATCGAGCATGCTGATCACCCCCAAGGGGGGGGGGGGGTGATCAGCATGCTCGATTACACCCCTGTGCCAAATTCCAGCCCCCTAGCTCGAATTTTCAAAAAATCGATAAAATCGATAAAAGTAATGGACGATCTTGAAAACTAATACTGTATTCGTAATCTGCATGCTCGATTACCCCCCTGTGCAAACTCCCAGCCCCGCAGGTCAAACTTTGCAAAAAAAATCGATAAAATCGATAAAAGTAATGGACGATCCTGAAAACTAATATTGTGTTCGTAATCAGCATGCTCGATTACCCCCCTGTGCAAAATCCCAGCCTCGCATGTCAAAATTTACAAAAAATCGATAAAATCAATAAAAGTAATCGATAATTCTGAAAACTAATATTGTATTCGGAATCCCCATGCTCACTTCCCCCCCCCCCTGTGCCAACTCCTAGCCCTGTAGGTGAACTCTGCAAAAAAATCGATAAAAATCGGTAAAATCGACATCGATCGATAACGAAAAGTGGACTGTGACACCCGCCGGGGCCCGAAGTGTATGTGTGTCAAGTTTGGTCCGGATACGGCGGAGCCGGGTAAGCCAGCTAGTAATCTTATAAATTCGAACAGACTAAGGATTCTACTGAAATGTGATATGCATTAGAGAGAGCAAGAAAAACTTTTTGATGATACAAATAGTACTGCTTGAGATGAAAACCATTTGGAACAGCTGCTCTAAGCAAATCAACAAAAATCGGACAGAACTTATGCAGCAGCTTAGTACAACGCAATGAGTTGGTCTTAGTTTTCCTGTAACTGGTGATTTTGAGATTTTGATTCCATGATTTAAGACCGACGCTTTTTTTTCGAATATTCTCAAATAATCTTGTTTAATATGTCTTTTATTGGATCACAGAAATAGCCACACTGTCCGCTTTTCAGCTTAGCGAGGACAGCGTACCGAATGTGCGATTCAATGTCGCCAAAGGTCTTCTGAAAATCGGAAAGGTCGTTGATTCAAGGTGTGTTCTTTACCATGTCGTTTACTCTACTACGACCTTTTTCATTGAGTCTGTTTTGTATATTAGTCATCACTTCATCATTTTTAAGTTCATTAGGTATTTTCTTCTTATACACTCACTGAAACTCATTTCAGCACACTTCAAAATGACATCAAAACCATTTTGAATAATTTGTCAAATGACCCTGACTTTGATGTGCGATACTTCGCCGAGGAGACCAAGACTGGCTTGGGTTTACATTGAATATACATCCAACTTGTGAATATTTACCTCTCATATCTTTTCATGCCACAATTGATCCTAGGTTTTTCAAATTTAGCTGACTTCTGTCTTGAGTTTCGTCGAGGTATAACTATTAGCCTCGACGTACTCTTGTGCGGTGCATTCAAGCAACTTTAGATCCGAACTTTCGCACAAACATATCTTTTTGTCTGACTACTTCATATATCGCTTTATCCTACTTGCGAGTTGTAAATTTTTGATAGGTTGCTTGATCAAGTCTAAAATTTGAATCGGAAGCCAGCCGTTTTCCCACAAAAACGATCTGACACGCTGAGGACATGGTTTGTTATGCACCCTTCGTAATAATAGGAGCTGTGTTGCTCGATAATGTTTCCATTCTATCATGTATCTCCATTAGCACAGTGAGTTTCATTGTTGACAGCTCGTATCTCATTGCATACTGACGACCAATATTAAAGTGACCGATAACTATTGTGTTTCGAGTATGAGAGCTACCTGTTTCTTCCGCTATGTCGGGATCAAGCACTTAAAATACAAATTGTTCGGTGAAGGAGTTTGTAATTGTCTATTGTCTCATTCTCAGACTTCTGAAGATCGTCCGCTGGGAAGGGTTAGTCTGTTCTGTTCAAATGACAGCAACGATAACCAAGTTTTTTTCTTTTACTGCGCATATTCTCTCTAAAGAAAAATTTGTTATATTTCTTTTGGTTAGGAAGGGATTATGAAAAGCGATAACTCAGTGAAAAAATGTGGTCAAGACATGCTGATAAAATTTCTCAGAAAATAAAAATCGGGATTGCATAAATAGAGCGATCAAAGGCTATTCTGGTAAACCTCGTGAAATCAGAATTGTAATGCTCTAATCCGCTGACAACGCATATCCGTAACTCTGGGTTAGCAAGAAAGTTCGCCAAACCTTAAATTCATAATCTAGAGGAGTTTCGTGAGGTTCTTTCTTTCGCATGTTGCAAACGGAAGATGGTTAGGAACTTTCCTCAGGTGATTATAGTTGTTAGCAAACTGTACTTTGCACGATAAAGGTCCTTGATTCATTGTGGGTATTCATAAGGAAAAGTTATTCATGGCTAAAGATAGCTAAAAATTTGAGATTGGGCGCAAGCCTTGAAGCCTTTCCACTATAGAAGTGATGATTTCAGTTATGCGTGATTAGGTATCCCTAAGGGAAAAAGATAATTTGTAGACGCAGTCTGCATAAGTCAAATGTCCCTACCCTTTGTTTCATTGGGAATGGCGGGTGGAGGACGGAGCTTAGATCGCTAATCAAACCTGTAATGATGGTAATGTTCGCTTAATCATTCCCTGATACTTCAGTCTTGTGACTCACAGTTGTATAGCTCAGAGTGATTAGAGAGCACGCTTGCGGAAGAGATGCAGAGCCCAGGGCGAGCCCAGAGCTCCATCCACCACCCGTCATTCCCAGTGAAACGGAGGGTAGGTGAACGATTTGGTAACGAATTAGAATCAGCGTACATACCAGGCAAAAAAAATTTCGAGTCGTTGTAAAAAACCTCAAGGTGATACAGGCAGCTTCAAATCAGCATACGGAGCGATTTATATGGGTTTTATTGCACCTATTCTTTTTTGATAGTGTTACTCAATGTGTCAAGAATAATCTGTTAGAAAATGTCAGAAAAGATGGACATTGACGTAGTTGGAAGCGTTTGATTGGAATAGCGGGACTTGATGCGATGCTCTTTGTAGATACCGTTCAATTTTGCAGTACTTCATAGTGTACTTTTGCATTACTAATGAAAGAAAATACTTTTATTGCTAGAATTAATGAATTTCCTATCATAGCCTTCCATAACCTGGTCCTGTTCGTGGAGGAGGGCAGTGATCGCAGGATCCTGGCTGTCCTGGAGGACCGCGTGGTCCGGGAGGTCCATGAGGACCGGGTAGTCCATCGGCTCCCTAAATTGTCCATTTTATGCTGGCAGTGAAGCTCACAGAATGTGAAAACCTTCTCTCCAGGATCTCCGGGTGGGCCAGGAGGTCCTGGTCGTCCAGCTTGTCCGTCTTTTCCTGGTGGTCCTGGTGGGCCTTGTGGTCCCGGAGGTCCTGGTGGGCCTGGTGGTCCCGGTGGGGCACCATTGATGACTTTTCCGGGCTCTCCTGGAGGACCTTTCTCGCCAGGAACCCCAGGAGGTCCTTGTGGTCCTGGAGGACCAGGTGGCCCGGGTAGACCAGGGATACCATCATGTCCGGGAGTGCCCGGGTCTCCTTGTGGTCCTGGCAGACCTTTCGGGCCTGGTGGGCCTAAAACGATGTGGATATAGCGCTAGAAAAAAGGGACAATATTTTCCAGGTAAGAAGTGCTAACCTGGTGGACCCGGAGGCCCTGGCGGACACTTCTGGCAAGGAGGTTTCGGGGGTGGTCCTGGTAGAAGTGCGCCATCCCTTCCTGGAGGTCCAGGATTTCCTGGTCTCCCTGGAGCACCTGGGCGACCATCTCGTCCTGGTGGACCTGGAGGTCCGGGAGGGCCGACCTAAATCGCAGTTATTTATTTTGTTTTTGATACTCGTAACTATATACCTGGCATGTGCAACATGATCCTGCTGCAGATGATGGATTGGAACGATTATCAACTGGATGAGCCTCGTAGGCCTCACGTCGAACTCGTTCGTTGACCTTTCCTGTCGCCGAGAACTGCACTGTCACCATCTCGCGCCACATCTCTCGAGATCGAGTCTAAAAATCGGTCAGTCGAGATCTTTTGGTAAATTCACAGAAAATGTTTTTTACCTTGCAAAAGTCGACTTCGTTCTGCATATAGGACTGGATTGACTGCACATGGTTGTAAACTAACGGCAGACTAATAATGCACGACAGTACACTTACCGTAGCCAAAGCCACGGAAGCAAGCGCAAGCGGACGCAGCGACTTGCGCTCGCAATCGTGCTCCATGCTCAGCATGTTCGAACGCAAGTGACGAACTATTGCTAGTACGGTGACGATATTGTTCTATGCAGAAAGAGAATGAAGGACTTAAGACTGGATGCGTTGCGGGGACGCGAGAGTGATATGATCGCTCCCTTATAAGGCCACTCACTTCACTGTCGCACTTGACCCAAATCGACTCTTTAACCCAAATTTGTACGGTCTCTTATCCCCGCAAAAACTCCGTCACTGTTTCTATGTACTTGTGAAACTTACTCTATGACGTGAAATGTAAGAAAGTGTCAGTCCCAATTCTACATGGATACTGTTTAGTGGATGGTTAAGGGTCAATTTATGGAACGCTTGAGTGGATCCAGTTTTGAAAAGGGAATTACTTTATAGGATTGCGAAGTTGCTAGATTTCTCCAAAGTATTAGGTCGTCATAAAAGTATTTTCGCTTTTTTGGATGGGTGACACAACTCGCAGAACAAAGATCCATGGGAGGTCTTGGTAGCATTCGATCCAGTTTTTCATGCTCCTTTGATTGGTTATCCTTATTAAAGGCCCTGGGCGTACGTCACGCGATTTCAGTCGCGACGCGATTTGGCAGTACTCCAATCGTCCATAACTAATCGTAAGGGATTGCTGAATGAGTTTGAAGACATCTGGCAAGTTGCCAGGTTGCGACTGAAATCGCGTGTGGTATGCACAAGGCGTAACACGCGCTGTCTTAGGAATTAACAAAAAGTGCTGTATATGTTTTCTACCATGGTCAAGTTCCGTCTTTTTTTCTGAATTTTTGTCCTCATTCTCCAAAAATTCCAAGCGACGGATAAATAGAGCAAACCTTGTAGGATACAAAACAAGTTTTTTCACTTCCATAACTTTCCAAAATTTTCAAAGCCATTTTTCTGATGTTATTAAACTACATATATGATCAACTTAAACCTCATACGTAGAACATCAACCGCGAGCAGCTCGGATATTAGTCGATACATTCTCCTCGTAAATGCATGTTTTTTGTTTCTGATTTGTAATGTCTTCTTATATATAAAGCTGAATTCTGTTTGTCTGTTTGTCTGTCTGTATGTCTGTCTGTATGTCTGTCTGTATGTCTCTCTGTACGTATGTTCCGAATAGAAAATTCCATTTCTGAGCCGATCCGGACCAAACTTGGCACACATACACTTCGGGCCCCGTCGGGTGTCATAGGCTACTTTTCGTCATCGATCGATATCGATTTTATCGATTTTTTGCAAAATTTGAGCTACGGGGCTGGGAGTTGGTACACAGGGGTAATCGAGCATGCTGATTACGAATAAAATAATGACAGGGCCGGGCGGAGCCAGGTAAGCCATCTAGTAAGAGATAAAATCAGCAAAATTCATGTTTTCAAAATCGCCTTGAGCTGTACCCGGAAAATTCAGGATTTGCTATTTCGAATTCCTGAATGTTCATTTGTATTTCAAAATTAATGCTGAATCATAATGCCTGGTGTCGAAAATCAAGACTTCATTGGTGTTTAACAAATCTGCGTTTGACAAGGTCTGTTAAATTCGATGGTTTTGTTGAAAAATTCTGTCAAAAAATTGTGGCGAATCATATGGAATAGAATAAAATTGTTTCGTATTCTTTAGTTTGCTCTATCTATCCGTTACTTGGACTTCTTTGAGGAATCAGTATAAAGATTTAGAATAGCGAAACTTGACCTTGGTAAAAATCATGGGTCGTAGTTCTTGGTAATTTAGAACTCGTTCGCAGGGCTCGGCACAGGGCCTACAAGCAAGCTGGATATCGTATTTGGAACATAAAGTAAAGGGGGTTTGGTTTTTGTGGCCGAAAATACACAAAATTTGCGACGTTTTTTTTAGTCGACGTTTCGTTGTTTGGAGGTTTACGGACTATGGTCTAGGGTCAAAGGGGACTTCGTAAAAATTCGCAAAAGTCAAGGGGGCTTCGTTTTTTGCATTTTCGAAGCCACCTCGTGCCTAGCCCTGCTTGTTTGATGAACTGCAATATAACTGTTTAAGAAAGAAAATATAAGGCAAATAAATAAATAAATAAATATAAGGCTCATTAAGAAGAACGTGAAAAGTTGCATCGAATGCTACCAAGATCTTCTATAAATCTTTGTTCTGCGGAATGTGACGCATGCTCAAAAAGTACAAAAATTCTTTCGGGACAGTCTACTAAAAGTAAAGATTTATGTATGAGGAACGATTTGATTTCGAGGATAGAGCTGGAATAATATTGAATTGATTCATATATGCAAGTTTTTCTAACCTCTTTCTTCAAGCGCTGGCCAACATAGTTCAATTTCCTGGAAGAATGTTTTTTTAGTTTCTTATGTATGCTTTCGCTATCGTAGATTTCTGTTCTTTCTAGAGTCCTATGCTTTCAAATAAGAGGGACTGATTTTCAAAATTGTTTGCTTCCATTCTTTTTGCCCTGAATCCATGAAAAATGGTCGGATAAATTCAGAAGATCATAACGATTATAAAGTTTTATGTTACAAAATGCTTCTTTGTATAAATTGAAAAAAAATCTAAGCCGAAAAATTTCATTGCAAGTTTGGGTGGCTTGGAGCCAATGATGAGACGATGCAGAACTTCTGCAGTGTACAGCAAGGATAGACCCATTACATTTGGTAGGAAAACGGCAGGGTTTTCTCACTTTCCAGTGAGAAAAATCGAGTAATCAAAAGAAAAAAAGATTCATGAATCCGCCAAGATGCCAGAAAAAAGCGCGTACTTCCGATATTTTGCATTGTTTTCTTTAGGAAAATTTCTATAAAATTCACTTCATGACCGACCGTTGGCTACAAGACGAGCAAAAAGTGCGCTATCCTACTTACATCTCAGAATAAGTTAGGCTCTAAGCAGAAGTCCCAAAAAGAAGTTTTTTACGTTCTGGCTAGAAAATCTTTCTTGTAATGGCTACAGTCATACAGAATGTTTTGCATAGCCAAAAATTTACTGTCTCATAGTGGTCCCTATTGCGTCGAGGAAGATCTTTATAGAAAGGATTTATTTTTGTTCAAAGTTGTACTTTCCTGAATGGTAATTCTCGAAATACATGAAGATATATCGTCTACCGGTAGAGAACATAATCTTCGAAGTTGTAGTGTTGGTGCAACTATATCAGATCCGACAAGCTTATTTATAAATAACAATAGCATTTTTAACTTGAAAATTTTTTTTGACTTCATGTGCAGCGCTGGATTTCTATATAGTACAAGTCAGATTTAGATAATTATGGTGTGAGAAACTAGTATTATTGATGCAGTGATATTTAAGTCGCCTACTTGATTATTAATGTTTAGTCAATTACGTCGGACAAATAATGATTCAATACACGGATACATAATTTTCTCGATTACTTTTTCGTTTTAATTTATTGCATTCGGTGCACTAAGGACATTCCATATATTATTAAACAGACTTTGTGCCAGTGAGCGCATTTTCTCTGAAGTTTTCCTTGGGTCTTGCTTTCCATATCCAAAGAGGAAAACCACTTTTATTCCCCATGGGTTTAATATTTTTACTTTGCTTACATCTTGATTTTAGGTTAGCAAACAAGTAAGCGGTCGTTTCCTGCGGTTTGTAGATGTGTAGACTAATTTATGTACAAATGTATGGTAACATTGAAAAGAGCAAGTCAAGGGAAATTGGATGGCAAACTTTTTTCATCTAGAGGGTGTTTTCTTTATGCGCAATAAAAGGATTAGTTAGCTTTTTCATTGAATTTTCGAAAAAAACATGCTCCGAAAAACTAACTGAAGCTGGATGTTTACATGGTCCAATTAAAGCGATCTGGATTGCCTAAAAAGGACTTTTAATGCCTAGAAGCTCTCACATTATTGGCTGTAGAATTTCACAAACAGTAGCTCACATCTCAATTGTGGTTCGCTATGTAGCCAAAGGTTGTATGTATTTAATTACCAAGATAGAAAATTAAAAAATCAAAAAAGTTTTTACTCGGGTGCTAACCATTTAAAGGTATAGCTGTCATTTATCGATGATGAAAACCCTCTTTACAAAAAACCTTGGCTGAATAGCTGTTTCTTAGATTGTTATGAAGCTTCAAAGTTGCATGTCAACTAAACTTATTAGCCAGTTTAATAAAATGCTCTAATTCGTGTCGCAAGTACTTCATTTCTCCCTAGCAAGGTCCTTTAGCGAAACTTTTTGTGTTTGCCTTGGTATTATTAATTTCAATTTATAAAAGTACGATTTTGATTTAGCAATCTCGAAACTCACTCTGTGCTCTTATCTGTCAAACGATCCACGCGAAAAGGAAAACTTCGTATTGGAAACTGTGTATAAAGTTTACCGACCGTAGAACAATGATTACTGTAAGGGAAAAAGAATGTTGAAAGTAACAGCCCGCTTACCTTCACCACAACTGGCTATGCTATTTCTCTACTTTCTAAGCATATAAAATTTTATGCTCTATCAAAGCAACATGGATGTGAAAATCATGCATTCTAATATTTCTACTATTGTACAAGCACCTTTTATATTGAATTATATCATCCATGCGAGAATTACAAACAAAAAAAAAACGCATGCAATACTCATATGACGACATTGCAGTTACTTCTTTGGATTCTGCTTTTCTATCTGCTAACATTACTACGATCGGTACTGAACAAGCGATAAGTAAATATAGATATGTATAACACGAGGATTATATCACGAGGAAGAAAGACAGTGTATTGAGTAGGTTGATGAAAGAAGGCAATCACATGGGCATTGAGGCAAATGAATTCCAAGGAAAGGCACGAGATCATTGAAGCGACCGCAGCTGAGTGAGAAATAAAGGCAATACATATAACAAATTGTTGGCAGAGATATATTGGAGCTCTAGAAAAATATCAATTAAGATTAATAAGAAAAGTTAGTAAGTAGCAATCGTCGTCTTCCTGAACAGCAATGACGAAGAGCTAGGCAAGTTCTGCGATACATTACGCTTTTTATGTCAAGGTTTCACGATATCATAAGAACTTTGCAGTATCACTTGTTTTGGCTGTCGATAGCGGGGATGATCATTCCGTCTTTTTTCTTCTTTTGATATCCAGCTTGGTCCGCAAAATACTAAATCAAATCATTGCCAATTTATAAGCTAGAATATTTTGGGGAAACGAGTAAAATTCACTGTAATGATTCTCAAACTCACAGATCTCTTCCCAAAGTTTTGTAATTTGCCCAAAGGACTTACTGATTTATGGAAGACCTGCTCGGAGCAGTCTCTCTTGTGCAGATCCCATCTTTGATTAGCTGTTCTCGTATCTCACCTTGGCGACTCATGCCGAGTCTTGTCCTGGATATCACATGAAATTGTTTTCCACAACCAAAACTCGCTCTTACCTGTAATCTCTGACCGCTGTCACCAACGGCGACTCGGTTCGACCTTCTTTTGCATCTTTTGGACGTACTGATCCTGTCTGACGATATCTGTAAGGTGAGGATTGTTGTAGTAATATTAGCCCTTTTCTCTTCAACGTAATTCTCCACTCCACATCGCACCTGTTCAAGATTTTGCTCACACAGCTATGGGTAACGCATAGACGCTTTGATATATCGCAAATTTTCCATCCTGCCTGAAAATAAAACAATAATAAGAAGGCGATGTTCAACTAAAAATGGAGTCCACAAAAATTCCCTTCGAAGAGAAAGGGCACGAGGGAGTTTTCTCGCATAATTGCTTATGCCACTTCTAAAATTACTGTAGGTCTCTAAGTTTTCCGAATTTGAAAGGTATCCCTGAAGGTACTTGATTTCATGGACTTTTTAGATAGAAAACCTGCAGCAACTACTACTGGCGACCTATGTGGAGAATCGAAGATGAGTTACGAAAATAAAAGTTTTCAATTGCCTTAATATACAAGCACTGAATTGTCTCACAGTTTTCTTCTTCATACTGAGAAGTCCTACCAATTTCTGCTTTTTTATAAGGTCCCAAATTCATTTCGAAAGAACAGAGCAAATTCTACAAGATGACAGACATTCGCAAGGGTTTCGTCCAAGTGAAATCTGACGCCCATGGTTCCAAAAAATGTTATTGACTCAACCATTGTATGGTTGGGTCAATAAAAGTTCAGTACCTACGGACCTCCAACTTGCTGTTGCATATACTCTCCACATCAGGCATTCATACGTAAAGTTGCTAAATTTTTCCACGGCTAGAAATTGTAAGAACAAAAAAAAATCCAAAACAAATTTGAGCTTCTTTCACATAACTATTCTATGTTACTACCTTTGCAAGTATATTAATTACTAGCTTTCTGCAAATGTTAGTTTTCAAGATGTATCAAATTGGATGAAAAACCGAAAAAGACTTTTGGTCTAACTAGTGGACCAGTAATCAAAGGTGCTAGATTGCATTCGCGCGCTGGGACCACCACGCGGTTTCCCGCTATTTGCACATTTTTGAATTGCGCTTACGTTTCTTCATATATTAGATTCTTTATATATTAGATTACGTTTTTCAAATAAGCGTAGAATCAATAAAGCGACTGTATTTGAAAATGTGTCTCATGGAAACACTATATGAGTGAACAAGCTGAAGCTTCGGCTTTTTGGACGAATATTTTCGAGTAATCTGAAACTCTGGGAATCTTTAACTTTACTGGATTGAACTTTGTTCGCTTATGTTTTGCTTCAACGAATAATAAGGGAATCCCAATAAAAAACTAGTAATTTTTAGCAGAATTTGTTGGTATAAAAAAATTCTTAGGTAACCTAATAAATTGTTTCCCTATAAGCAAAGTAAAAAATTTTAGGAATCAAATAAACTTCATAAACATTTTTCATAAGTCATAATTTGTCCTTTTTCATTTTCAAGGTCATAATCTCAATAAGTTTTAGATTACTTAGCTGCCATGTCCTTATATACGAAAAATGCTCGATCGTTTCCACCCCCCCCCGTCTCTATAAAATTCTGCAACCCCTACTGCTTTTCTGAGTTATGTCTCAGGTTCAGCCATTTTCGAATATAAATAGATGCTTCGAATGGTTGCATATACATGCCAAAGGCAAAGCAATATAACCCTGAAAACTTGTTGGAGATGATCTATATCAGATTACATCTTAACTCTTGTTGCTCATGCGCATCGTAATAGAAAATGTTGAAGAGAAGTTTTTCGACTTAATGACTACCATCACCTACCACCTTAAGATTTTGGTGGATATGCTAGGGTGGAGCTAGCAGTTAATAGCGATGAGCGTGTTTCAGGATTTTTATTAGAGATCAAGTGAGAGGGAAAATTGAAAACTTATTCTTAAATAAATTAAAAGGTATTGATGAAATTTTGATGTATTTACGTGATGCTCTTCTTTTGATCTACAAACGCTAATTTGATCTAACAAATGCAATTGATTTTTCTTAGTTTTCGGTCATCCTGCCTAGCTCACCTGAAATAACTTCACAATTTCCTCTCTTTCGCACATTGATAATGGTAAACCAGGACTGTATGTTCTTCCAAGCTGATTTCTACCTGAATTTGAATCTTGAAATGTATATTTGCCTCCATCTCAATTAGTGTTATAAAAGAAACGCATTCATGTTCTTCTTTTAAGCTGCTTGACCTGAACTTCGAACTTGATCTCTTTCAGCGTTTGCTGGCGGAACATCTTCCAATGAGGTGGATGAGAGCGATGATGGACTATCACCAAGGGAGCTTTCAAGGTAGCAGATCTAAAATGTAAGTTGTCCAATCAGTTCGTTATTTTTATCAGAACTGCACTGTGTCAAAATTTTTTTTGAAAAATTAGGTATATTAGCTTAGTCAGGCTTGCAAATTATATAGGTACCAGTTTAGCCGTTTTTTGCTTCAATGTTGTGCTAGAGATTTATATATTTATATTTATCTGTCGTTTCGACTAATGGTTTAGAAATAGATTCTGAAATGTGCAAAACAGCGAAAAGCCGCCAAACAGTTTTAAGCTGGGCTAGAACTACTTGCTGAAAGATTGACATGAAAATTGGAAAGGAACATGGACAGTTTTGCCTCTTTAAACCTTTGTTAAGTGCTTTGAATTTTCCTCTATATATGCTTTTCGTTTGTTCAAGAACAGAAATATCTACGATCCATAAATTAATTTAATCTATAGTTAACATAATTGTAACACTTTTGCGAAAACAGTCGCCATGATCATACACATAAACTTGCTCGTCAAAAATGGTCACAGGGCGCACACGTTTCACAACACAAATTTTGCGTTCCATAATCAATTTTTACGCGCAGTTGTTGTTGGCACCGCATATACAGTATATTAAGCTAAACTCTTGCTTTATTGGAAGTTATGCAAAAAACGCATTTTGGGGTACATGAAGGCCTAGCTCAACATATATAATCTATGAATAATAGAAAAAAAAGTGACCTCTTTGTTATCCGTGTAGCTGCTTGAACCCAAGGATGACTCGAGCGGAGGTAGCGAAATGCATATTCGTGACTGTTGCGATTCAAGGTACTGCGATCCTTCCATCTGCATAGGATGTCATTTGTAGACGTAATAGTAGAGAGTTAAAATTCACAAAAAAATGCTACCACAAATCTCGAAAATTCGGCCTATTTATAAGCTGGTAATATCAGGTTGTTTCATAAGTTACGCTCGATTCAATTTTTAGTCGCGATGAGTCATACACCTCTTATTTCTAGATAGGTTACAAGGTATCGTTTGATAGAGCAAAACAAGCTCTACAAGATTGTGTTCTTGCTTTCGCACCAGCTCGAGTCCTTCGTGAGTTCGAAGCCAAAAACTGAAAATTTCCTATCGCCCGAAAAATAGAGATAAAATTGTATTTCCATTCAGAAAAATTAGAAAATTCCTATCTTGCTCACAGATGCACTATCCATATCAGACATTTATGTATACTGTTTCTGTATTTTCTTCTCGAATAGAAACTGAGAGAACGAGAATTTTTATGTTTTTGTCAAATGATGCTGTGCTGTTTTTACATTAGAGTTGTATACCATAGACCAGTTGAAGTACAAACCCGAATTTTCAGCTTAAGGCTTTAGTTCTTGAGAAACGTCAAAGTTGACTTATTTTAGTAGGGTCTCTCACATTAAAACGAATATTTTTAGAGAATATGCATAAGTGTCTGATGTGGATAGTGTATCTGTGAGCAAGTTAGGAATTTTTTAGAATTTTTTGGACGGACTTACAATTTTTTCTCTATTTTTCGGGCGGTTGGATCCTTCTAGCTTTTAGCTTCAAATTCGAAAGGGATTTGAATTGGTGCGAAAGCAAATACCATCTTGTAGAGCTTGCTTTGCTCTATCACCCGGTGTCTTGAACCCTATCTAGAAATAAAAAGCATATGACTTATTGCGATTGAAGTTAAAACGAACGGAATTTATGGGACAACCTGATAGTTTCTACGCTTAATATAGTATTCTTGTGGTGCCCAACAAGCAGCGACAACATTTGCGTCTGAAATGCTGGCAGTTTGCGCGTCCAAAATCTATAGGATGCAAATTTTCAGCTTTGCGTCCGCTGCCAATTTGAGCGCAGGTATTGCCAGCAGTACACCACAAGCACACTATATAAAGTGTCAGAACTACTAGCCTACCAAAATCTGTTACTATCACTGCTCTCAGCTTGATCCTTTTGAGCTGAGCTGGAGCTGGATTACTCGATTTTGATCAGCCCTGATCATTTTCTCAACGAAGAAACGGATCAAAACACAAATTAGCCTCGTCGATTGTGCGAAGCACAAAACCAGTTTTGTTCTGCGCGTTCTTGTTTAGAACATACTACATACATTCAACCACGCGTAGAAGTCTCGCTCCAAACTCTCCGGCGTTGACGTGTCGATGACGAACGGGGAGGCGAACTCCATTCTGGAAAAGTAGTCGATCGCTGAGTAACGTAGAAAATGAACGAACTCTCAAACACCAGGAGGTGATTTGGGGGCTCTAGTGGTGGTAGATTAGATGGACGCAAAGGTAGGAAAGATTTAATAGGTTGCAAGTTGAGAGAAGTGGAGCTGGTTCATAAACCTCGGATAAATTGGTTTCGCAGAATGCTTTTGCTCGTATCTTGTTTTGGAGTCTAGCTTTCAGCATACAGAGGGTCGTATACCCTTTTTTTGGATGCATTGAGAATTTGGCATGTTTGGAGATTTCAGTATTGAAAAAAACATTTAGATACAAACTTTTAACAACCATAATGGTGAAAGCACGTAGAGCGTAAATAAATAGAGCTAGCTCCCATAAACTTAAGCGAGAGCGCAGCACATTTGCTGTGAATTTTGATTTGTCTTTTTGAGAATCTTCACTTCAAAATTGTGTGGGAACAAAAATCGGGAATTGTACCGTTAGGACGTTATCATTCTCGATTTTTGCCTCTAGCCTACCTCTAGTTTTGTTTTGAATGATAAAGTTTCAACAACTATCAGTTTTGGCAAATTGAAGTGTAATTTACAGAAAGAAGATTGAAGAATATGCAAAGCAGTTCCTTGTGCAAGAAGACGCCACAACTTTCAAAATCCAGTACCTAAGGTGAAAAGGTATTTGAGAGGAGAAGTTGCTATCTTACTCGATTGAAAAGGCGAGTTAGTCTCAGTTCTTTTATTTTGTAGTATAACAATTAGTAGGGTTACTGTAGTCATTAGATGTCTGCAAGAGAAGAATGCAATAAGAACCTGGATGACTAGAGAGATTTATGAAGTATATAAAAATTAGTAGCTAGTGCTCTAATTTATATGTGATTTTGTTTTGCTTGACGCTGAAAAAAAAATGGCGTTGAATCAAGCACTTATGGTGAATTTAGCATCGTAACTGTAAAAAGAATTTCAAGAAATGTTGGATACAGTCTTTGTTTTGCAGCTACGACATTAGAGTATAGGTTTTTTCGATAGCTGCGACGATAAAGGTAAAAATCAGTTTCTTTTTAAGTAAGAAAATGCTCTTCCTGAAAAAGATCTTGAGCAGACATGATTTTTTTTTGATTGGGCACTTTGCCAAAACTCGAGAGATGGTTTTATATGAGAATCAGATATAGAACTAGATGTGGAGTCCATCGAAGGAGGTAGAGAATGTGGTATTTGGCGCGCGCTTGACGCCATACGTCACCAAGGCATAGACTGCGAATGATGGTGGCTGGTGATAGTATGAGAGTTGATTAAGCATGCCCCTAAAAACTGCAAGCATTGCATAGTACAGTTAAAACGAGTTATTTACTGATCAAAACACAACAACAAACGTGAACCGTGCGGTTGATACGATGACATATTACTGTCAAAACAAGCACAACTTTTTGAATACGATTCGACCTGTT